TTCCATAATATTTTGTCCATGATAGCTCATAAAAGAAATAAAAGAAAGGACTTAAATCAACTATTACTATTTAAATTTAAATCAAATTTATTACTATATATTTTTTATCTAAAAAACATTATATATATATAAATATAAAAAGTTAATTGAACATATTAAATAATCAACTTAAATAGTTAATATATAAAATAAATAATATTCAAATTTAAATCAATCAACACTATCTCTTTTTCAATCTTTAATCTATCCAGATTTATAAGTTTGATAAATATAATCGTATCTCTTACTTAGTTAATATGACTATTTTTTATCATAACTAAGTTTTTTGATCCAGAATGAGTCGAACATAAATAATTTCTTTTTTAGAATGGTGTTTTTATAGCAAATATATTAAGGGAGTGTTATATTTTAGGGTCTAATACTTAGTAAATTTGTTACAATATAAGTCTATTAATAAATTAGTAATTTTGATAATTTTTTATCTTAAATATGTACAAAGACTACATTATTTTTAAATAATGTAAAAACATAAAATGTATTTGATTAAAATAGATTGCATTAATATTTTTATAATTTGTACTACTAATTGCGAATCAATAGATCTTTTATAAGCTGATATTTTGTACATATTTATGACAATTAAATATAACCCTTTATTAGAAATTACAGACAATTTTGAAATCGACGTTTATATAAAACTTTAAAATTATTATTTAAGCAACCCCATTGTACATTTAATTCTTTTATTGTATATTTTTCTTACTTTCTATTTATATACCTTGACCACTATTCTCTTATACGAGTGTTTTTACTTTTTTTCCTGAATTTAGCGATCATTTCTAAAAATGTCGATTCTCAATAATATAATTTTTTTAACTCCATCTTTATTTTTTATAAAAGGGAATTTATTTTATAAGAATCCTATTCTAACCAGTATTTTGTGAAATTCTTAGAAGAGAGCCATTAATATTCTAATACAGTTTAATTTATCGATAAATTTATTCTTTAAAAAATAGCAAGTATAAAAGTCCTACAAAAATGTAACAGTCAATAGTCTTCAAATATTCATCAGAGTAATTTAATAGAAAGATAATTTATTAGGAATAATTTAAAGGAATACGAATAACTAATTATAAGCTCTTTATTTCAAGTCATATTCAAATGGTACAAATCAAAACTCATTTTATTTAATTTATTTTTAATAGACAATTTAAAATTAAGTTACATTTTAAGAAAAAAGGCTTCTTCCGTTTTAAAATATAAAAATCAACTAATTAAAATATACAATAATTGATTGACATTTCATAAATTTATACTATAATTTATATTATTTAATTTATATGTTCGCAAACTGCGACAGAAAGGATATAATGAAATTTCTCTCTATACTCCTATTACAAATGCCTTAGAAGCAACACTCTCAATTAGTGTTGTTAATTAGTCGAGTTCTTTCGACTACGACTAAATGGAAATCGACTAAAAACTTTAGCGACTAAATAGAATAATATAGTCCACTATTAGTCGACTAAGTTGATCTATTTAGTCAGCATAGTCGACCCATATAGTCTATTTGCTTATCGATTAATTTAATCGACTAAATAAATTTTTAGAGCCTAACCTAACCTGACCACTGTACAGTCGGGGTTAGTCTAGTTTTTCCAACTAATTGAGATATCAGAGAAGATAAATCATAGAAAAGTCACAAATCTCATATACGTTATTTTTAAGAATTTATTGTTCTTAATTTCTTTCGATCAAATGGGCAAAAATATACATGTCAAATTAAAATTTAAATTAGGATGTATCATAGAAAAGTGACAATTGTCATAATCGTTATTTTTGAAGTTTTTTGAGTTATTTTAAAGTAAATAGGAAAATATTTTGTAACCATGTTAAATTAAAATTTCAATGAAGATGTACCTTAGAAAAGTGATAATTGTCATAATCGTTATTTTTGAACTTTTTTAAATTAAATAGGTAAAAATGTATATTGTAAACATGTTAAATTCAATGATAGTTAAATTAAAATTTCAGTGAAGATGTACCATAGAAAAGTGACAATTGTCATAATCGTTATTTTTAATCTTTCTTTGATTTTAAAGCAAAATATATATCGAAACATGTTATATTAAAGTTACAATGAAGATGTACAATAGAAAAGTGACAATTGCCATAAGCGTTATTTGTGAACTTTTTTGAATTTTTTCAAAGAAAATAGGTAAAAATATATATTGTAAGCATGTTAAGTTAAAATTTCAGTGAAAATGTACCATAAAAAAGTGACAATTGTCATAATTGTTATCTTTTAACCTTTTTGAATTTTTTTTAAAACAAATAGGTAAAAATATATATTGTAAACATGTTAAAATAAAATTTCAGTGAAGATGATATCAATGTCTAAATTAATTATCAAAGGAATATCGATAGTGAAAATTGGTTAATAATGGGAGATTCAATATCTATTAATATTAATTACATTAAATTATCTCGAGAGGTAACAATAACATTAGCCGATTGGATAAAAGGTTATCATTCTGCAAAAATTATTAAAGATAAATAAGGGATAATATTATATTTAGGCAGGTATTTCCTTGTCAAATGGTTGTAAGAATATTTAACAAAAATTTTCTAATTAGAATTTCTGATTGTAAATTTAAATGATTTAATTTTTACCTTTTGTGCATTTTAACATATTTATTTTTAATACTATATTTTATAAGAACACCAGAAACTATGAATTTCTCTAGTAGCAACAATCGCAATATTAAGATGCTTTATTTGTTTTTACCATATTATATAATAATATTTTTATAATTTGTTACCTATTTTACGGATCAAACCAAGGTTCGCTTCAATGGGGTCGCTCTCTCGGTCTGTTTCAGAAAGCAACTTGATGGCCTCTCACCTCAGGGGGCACAGTAATTGGTTGGTTAAAGCGATTATGTTTAACTTAAAAGATTATATTTATCTATAATTAAGTGTAAATTATTAGTACTTCCTTTTATATCTGAAATATAGAGGATTAGTTAATATTTATTAGTTGAGTATTATTCAGTCTACCCCAATTTAGATTTGGCATCCTAAGGAACATTCCAACAAGTCTTACAAATAAAAGAAAGAAACCATTCCTAAATTCTAAATACCTAAGAAGATTATTAATTCAACTAAGAATGAAGTTTTGAATAATGCTAGGGAAACTCCCAACTTTATAATATGAAATAAGACTATACTCGGCCCATATATACAAATTAAAACCTCCACATGATAATTTTAGTTAAGACTCAAAAATATTCTGAAAAATCCTCAATTTTACTTAGTTGTAATTTATTAGCCCCTATATTATATTAACTCATACATTTTAAATAGTTTATATTCTAAACCGTATATATTAGTTACAAATAACACTATTTGCCCGTCAATTATTAAAACCATAAATAGTTCACTAACTTCACATCCTCAAAATATAAAGTTACATACATACACGATTTAGAAAAAGATGCTAATTAAATATTTATTAGCCTTTACGTTTTAAATTTGGTAACAGTTTGCCCATATTTCTTTTTGATCGTGATCGCTTTCCAAATAATATTACCTGTGAGACGAGCAGTGTAGAGATACATAGGTTTTTATTATTGTTATTTTTTAAAATTATTCCCAAAAATCTAAAAATACATTACTCAAACAATAAAATAACGATAAAAATTTGGAAAAAAAAGAATTATATTTCTTTTGAAAATTATAAATTGTTATTATAATTTTGGTATTGTTATCTAAAAAAGGTCCGAATCCACCCAAGATCTATATTATCCCTGGTTTAATTGTCCATAAATCGATCTCTGTTTGGTCTGTTGCCCAACCAAACAATTTTAATTCGAGTTTATAACTCTGGTTTTTATATTTATTATAAAAAACAAATTGTCGTTTTTAGTATTTGCGATAAATATATAGATTTATATTTGTAAGAAAAAAAATATAGTATCCCTTATTTAATAATTAAATTTCCAAATCATAGAATATTTTCAATTTTATTCACACACTAACTTTTTGATTAAGTTACTGTTATCAAAATTTCAGCTAATTATAGTTAAAAATTCTTGAATCCTAATTCTATTATTAAAAACTAATATTTCAATACAAGGATCTTTTGATATTTTTGGAGTATAATATAAAAGGCATCAAGGTACAGATCTGCACTATACTTGAAACAATTATTAATATAAAATTTTCAGATATATCATCACCCTAGACCTTTTACTTTAGTCCTCGCTCAAGGAACCTTGTAGCTGTCAATCGATGTAAAGCAGCAGCCTATGAAAATTTTTCAATAAATTTTTTATATAGGCAAGTGAGAAAATATTTGCAATAAAAAAATCTAAATTTTCTTTTGTTTTTGAAAGTTCAGGCTCATTTTCTATTTTATGAATCTAGACACCTTGTTAATTTTTTCCTCCGCCAAAATAATACATTTACATTTCCTCCTTTCTCATTAAAATATGGGGTGCGGTTGGGTTATTATGTATTTCAGCAGACATGAATAAATATATTTTTTTCTGATAGTGGTATAAACAATATTTCTCCCCCATTGTATTCTTATTAATTTTGGGGTGTGGGGAGGCATATTTTTTTGGGATAAGGAGTGGTGGCAATTTGAATCGTCCCCCACCCAACTAGGTCTAGAATCGGGCCTACTACTCGGCCCATTATATTTATCAGAAATATCCTAATTTTTATAAATTTTTAGAGTTTCTTTCTATATAATCAATACATTAATATTTTATTAATGTTTTAAAGATTTTAACTATATTTCCGTAACTATTATTTAAGATTTTAATAAAAATTACTGAATTTATAAATAACAAATAGTTTTGCAAATCAATTAAATAAATTAATGATGTCAAATGAATACAATATATATAAAACACAAATCCTCAAAATAAATTGCAAAACGATGCTATTTTAACTTTTTAAATGTCTATTTTATTTGTGGAATTATAAATATATCATTCTGTAAATTTTAAATTCAATTTTTTTTCAAATTCAAAATGTCTTTAGTATGTGCTATTACTAATGAAATACCCGAAATTCCAGTTTTATCACCAGTTTCAGGATGTATTTTTGAAAGAAGAATTATAGAAAAATATTTGAGCGAAAAAGAAGTTGACCCAATCAATGGCGAAATTTTAACTTCAGACATGTTAATCGAAGTTAAAACTACCAGTAATTCTTCATCCCTTATTGTTAAACCACGTCCACCTTCTGCAACAAGTATTCCAGCACTTTTGAAATCTTTACAGGACGAATGGGATGCTTTGATGCTTCATAGTTTTACTATTAGGCAACAATTACAAACAACTAGACAAGAATTATCACATGCCTTATACCAACATGATGCTGCATGCAGAGTTATAGCAAGATTGAATAAAGAAGTAGCTGCTGCACGTGAAGCTTTAGCTACTCTGAAACCTCAGGTCCAAGCTATCCCGGCAGCTATTAGTAATATAGAATTGAATTTATTTATACTTTTTTTATTTTAGGCATTCAGAATATGGAAGAAGAAGTTAGTGAAAAGGGAAAAGAAGACTTAGAAGGAATGACAGAAAAGGTTTTTTTATTAATAGATTGTTTTTAATGATTTATTTTTTAAGGTTATACAAAAATTGCAAGACAGAGCTGCTATTTTAACTTCAGAAAGGAAAAAACGTTTAAAGACTATGCCAGAAGATTTAACCAAGCCAGATACGATTAAAACCTTCAAACAAGTTAATTATATTTATAAATATTAAGACCTTTATTAAATAAAAGACATCAAGCCATCTTGGATTGCATAGTGCCAGTGACCCAGGCATATTATGCCTAGATATTTCTATTTTAGACCCTTCAAAAGTTGTGACTGGTGGAAATGATAAGAATGCTGTTATTTTTGATAGTCAATCAAATCAAGTCATAGCAACTTTTAAAGGTACCTAAAACTATTAATAAAAATTTACATTTTTTATACAAATAATATTATAGCAGAAAGAATTATTAATAGATTATGATATTATTGTATTTTGATCATATTTTTTGGAACTAATACATTCTCATAAGAAATGTTTACTTAGGGTTCATCATTGATATTGGGACACTAAAAAATTTAAATATTTTGTTTACATTAGACTTCATTTATATAAAATAGTACTAGTTTAATATATCATTTTATAATAAGTATTAAGGAATATTCCAGGTCAAATTAAATTTGGAACTGTGTACCTAATTCATGTTATCTAAGACCCAATTTGTGTCAATTTTTTAAAATAGTCATTATATTAAAATCAAGATAATATTGTATAAGTCTGAAGATTTTGATACCTTTGCCTAATCTTGAGGCTTACATAATCTTATTTTGGATTTATCAGGCCATTTTTAAAAATTGACTCAAATCAGCCTTCAACACTAGACCTAACAAATCCAAGCTTATTTTTAGTCCTTATAACCTACATTGAATCTGATATTGTTCGTAACAAGGTTTAAGTTAAGTTAATTAAAAAAATTTATTATAAGCTTATATCACATTTAATTCCTTCATTTAGTTTAAAATTTGATTGTTTATTTTATCCATAAAATTATTTAATTTATAAATATCTGATTATTATCTTGAAACTATTCTTTCCTGTTCTTGACATAACCACTTCTAAATTTTGCCTAGTATCCGGTGAAAAAATCATCACTTTACTCCTGGAATATTTATAGTTTTAGTAGAGAGATAGTCCATTTAGATAATTAATTGTTAAATTTTGTTTTTTAATTTTTGGAGAAGCTTATACCTCCCAAATTTCCCCAGTAATTACATCATGAAACTTATTCATGTTATAATTTAGGTCACACCAAAAAGGTATCTTCAACTATATACCACAATGAAAGAGATTGCATCATCACTGCTTCCTGGGACAAAACTATTAGAATTTGGGATGTTCCTAATGAGAATTGTGTCAAGATTATTAAAGCTCATCTAGCTCCTATCACTGGTTAATAGAAATTGATTTTTTCCTATTCTGAGGAATACATTTTCGTTTAATTTATTATTCATAAAATGATTAAGTTAAAATAAGAGATCATATAATTTTCATTAAATCATATATTATATTAATTTTTATACCTTTTCAAATATTGATAAAATCTAATATTATTATTTATTTTTTAAATATTACAACTACAACATATATTTATTTATCATGCAATTTTATAAGACAATTTTTTGTAACTCCTTTCTGTTTAATAAAGGCATCTCGTTACACCCTACTGGGGACTATATATTGAGTAGTTCTTTGGATGAAACATGGGCATTTTCGGATATAAATAGCAGCGGAAAAATTGTTTGCAAAGTTAAAGACTCAACGCCATTAACATGTATTCAATTTCACCCTGACGGTCTTATATTTGGCGCTGGAGGCCAAGACGCCATCATCAAAATTTGGGATTTGAAGGTTTAAATTAGTAATGAAGATACTAATTTGTATCTTCAATTTTCGCTCTAATAACATATATCTAAAATGGTTTTGGGTAGAGCTGTGCCGATATTAAATTGATCTGGTTATAAATGTGCATATTTCATACTTGGCAGCTAATTTATGCATAAACATTAGAATATAGATATAATATAACATTGAAAATGATTGTTTTAAAACAAAATTATTTTATATGGATACTTTAAAATCGGCCGAAAAATTTATTCAGAATTAGGCTGATTTTATTTCCCGATACTGCTTAAAATTTTTTTGCATGATTTTATTAAGTTCTATTAACATACTAAAATGGTTTATATTAAAAATTTACTCCCTATTTTGTGCCAATTCCGAGATATAAACATTTATAATCAGGTCATTATAATATCAGCAAAAATATCTGGAAATTTCAAATTTGAGATTGAAATGGGCAGAAGTTATCATGTTTCAAATAAAAATAAATTTACCATTTTTATACAGGAAAAATCTAACGTGGCAAATTTCCCTGGACATAGTGGTCCAATATCTGCTCTTTCCTTTTCAGAAAACGGTTATTATTTGGCCACCTCTGCCGACGACAGTCTCATTAAGCTTTGGGATCTGAGGAAATTGAAGAACTTCAAGACCATTAGTTTACTCGAGAATGAGGAGGATGTTAAGTTTAGTATTTTTCAATATTATTTTTTATGACATGAATGTAGATTAGTCAGAGGGGAAAAAAAATAGATCCCTTATTCTCTGCAATTTTTTCGATTTAACATTCTTTAAATTCGACGGGATTAATATCATTGATGGATTTGTTCATTTAGCCCATAATTATTTTCTCAAATCTAATAAATGAAAATCATTTTATCTAGATGATAAACATAATAATATGGTCCTATTTGTTCTGGGTCTTGGTCAAAATAAATAAAATCAATGGTCTTATAAAAGTTTTAATATAATTATAAAGCAATTAAATTATTAGTTGCCACGATTTTTAATACCATTATCCTCTTCTTAATAAAAAGGTATGACATAAAGTGCCTCTCATTCGACAGCTCGGGCAATTACTTAGCCGTAGCAGGTAATGACGTCAGAATCTATTTGGCTAAGCAATGGAATTTACTAGCCAATTTTTCGAATCCCGGCACCGAGAAAGCTCACATTAACACTGGTGTTAAATTCGGGCCAAACGCTTCTTTCCTTGCTTCTACTGGCATGGATAGAGCTTTACGATTTTACTCAACTTAATATACATTTATTTGTAAGCATTATAATCTACATGACATTATGTCGTTTTAATTAGATGTATACAATTTTACATTGATCATAAAACATGAATGTTTCAAATTTTATGGGTTTTTTAAACAATATTTTATTTTATTTTTATTATTTCAATTCATATCTTCATAATAGTGTATATTGGAAAATAAATTTATATTATAACTTCTTTTATTAATAAATATAAAAATTTCAAAATAAAAATTGTGTAGGTTTCTTAATTAACTAATTTAATATGGTTAGCATTAAGGCTCTCAAAAAAAAATCAACTCGTTTTTGAATTTTAAAAATTAAATGTTTTTATAAATTTAATATTTGTTTTTCATTAATTTTATACATTTTGATTTATATGTTGGTTGTTTACTAGGCATTTTAAAAAAAATTTTGATCTGAGTTCTAGCTATTTTCTAATATTAATGGACCTCAATCTAAAGCACACTTACTAGTATTGTTAAACGGTTCGATTTAGCCAATTTTAAATTAAGATTTTAGCCAAAATAATATTACAATAACCTAGAGATTTCGTTAATAGATGTCCAAACCATTCTGCTATCTATGAGCCAAATCTCTAGGGTTGCCTAATATTTTTGGCTAAAATATTGGTTATCGTTTAACAACACCAGTCACTTGAACACATGTTGCTTCATTCAAACAAACAAAAAATAGAATTCGTACGATCTTAAAATAAGGGCTGATTTTTACCAAATGTTTTGATGTGGCATAATTTATTATATAATTCATATTAAAAAAATTCAAGCAGCTTTTACATTATAAATGATCAATATTTTAATAAATAAATAAAATATAAAGTGTAGATGGATGGTATAAATTAAATAATAAATTAAATCTGCAATTTTTGATAATAATTTTGATAAATTGTACATTTTCTAAAAATTAAAAAAAAAATTGTAGTATCAAAGTTATCTATTTTCATAAAGACTGTTTTATAACAATATGGTATAATCAATTTAGAAGCGATCCAAGCATATAAAAAATAATAACAGAGATTTCTTTTGCAATAATTTTAAATTACAAGATAAAATTAATTCCAAGGTATATTTATATTAATAAATTAAATTATTAGATAATTTTTTTCGTCGTATTCAGTTTCCAAACATTTACATTATAGTAGAGTTGTTAAAAGCCATATTCGGTCAATTTAAAAAACGACCCAATTAAGATTTTAAACAAAATAACATTATGTAAGCTTAAAGATTTTGCATATAGCTGGCAGATGATGTTCGATGCTTATATAATATTTTAGCTAAAATCCTAATCGGATTGTTTTGAAAAATCGGGCTTTTTAGCAATACTACTTCTTAGTTCACCATGCTTAGTATATTAAGATAAACCTGTTAAATATATCTTATAAGTGTTAAGTGCACATATTATATGATTTAATAATCAAATTTAAATATTAAACAGACAAGCGTGTTTTATTTGATTAATCTGTGCAAATATTCAGAGAAGTGTGTGTTTCGATGTGATTTTCGTATTCATTTGGACACTCAGGTGGACTTTCGCGCCCATCGAAATCTTTTTGAGCGGAAGTTAAATTCTTTATGACACATATTTCCTTGGACATGACCTCTAAATCCTTTTAATTATAAGTTTTATAAGAACTATACCCGCAAATTCAAGCAAAATGAATTTTTTTTTAAAAATATATTTCCTCACAACCTTATGATAGCTTAAAAATTTTGAAAAATGGTGGTAGAGCATTACAAAAGTGGACTTTTTAATAAATTAATATAATCGTCAAACTTTTTCGATCATAATATTTTTAGTGAGCGTTTCTTCCAACATGATTTTCAATCTTTTATTTGTATTTATGAGGTCCTCGTAACTGGGGTTACTACCCGTGGCATTATTGGCAAAATGAGAAGAAGTCGTCAAGTTATTCAAATTGTTGTTGATAAAATTATTGAATTTGAGGGCTAAAAGCTTTTTGAGTGGTTGATCCATAGAGGCAACCGAATGTTCGGAATTAGTTTCGGCTATGTTTAAAATGATTGGTTAGCATAAATTTCAAAAATTTGGATTTATCAAATGATTACGAGTAATAAGACCTAAAATGAATCAAGAAATTTAAAAATAACATTCGAAAACTATCTTTTAAAACATTCCCCAAAACAAAATATAAGAGCAGATTTTTTTAAAATCACCATAAAAATGATAAAATAAAGTTTTTAAAAGAAATAAATTTTCGTTTTATTTAAAAAGGAGCAAATGATAATTGAAGAACCATATAAAGGCATCCCTTTATTGTTTTCGCTAATTGCATATTTTTCGATGATTTCATTTTTCCTCATGAGATCATCTGCTAAGCCAGCCGCGCTTTCCTCCAAATATTTAACCCGTTCTTGCAATAAAGCGTTCTCCCCGGTTCCATTGCACGTTTCTTTCAACATGTTTAACTTTGTATAAAAAAGAATGAATTTATATAAAAAATTTTGCTAAAGTAACTAGTCATATTTCAAAGGAAAATAATTAACTAGTTATTTTTACAAATGTAACGATAAAAGTAGCTAGTTACTTTAAAAAATAAATATAGTATATCCATTCACTTTATAAGATTTCCCAAATTTAAAATATTGTTTATTAAATAAAAAGTAGGTTTCCAGAAAATCGAATAAAGAACTATTCTTATAAGATTCGTGAATTTCAAATCGAATAATTTTAATATTCATTTTTGTACGACTAGAATAATTAAATAATTCATATTTGCAATATAAATTTGGGTTTATGAAACAAATCACTATCACAATCAAAAAAAAATCAATATTGAAAATGCAAAAAAATTAACATATTTGAATATGATTTTATAATTAACGAATAATTAGAATATTTACCAAAATTTAAGAATAATCAGTATAAATAATTAGAATTTATCACTTGTCAAAGATTTTTTAATTATTCGGTTATTTGTATTCTTATATTTAGAATCGAATAATTTCTGATAGACCTAATATAATGTCATATACATCAAGAGCTTCTGTAGAAGGTTTGCTTATTTTTAGAGAAAAGCTAGCACACCTTTCAGAAATCAAATTAGTTTATTTGTTATGAAAATCAAAAAATGTTGCTAAAGTTAGTAGTTACATAAAAAAAATAACTGTAACTAGTTATATTTGAAAAATTTGTATAACTCCTGTAATGTTGGAATGTAACTGCCAAAAATAACTATTATTTTTAAAAATATTAATGTAATAAATCTATATGAATATATTTAAATTAATTTTATTTGTAATATGTTGTAATAAATTAATTTTAAATTATTACCTTAGTTATCTACCCTTTAGCTTTTTTTTTTTGGGGGGGGGGGGTATTTAAATCGACTGTCTATATTGTAAATATCAATCGATTCAATAATAAATAAATTATTATTTTACTGGGAAGATGGTATCACATATTTTACATTGGACAGGACACGAATTTATATGACCACGAGGGAGTAAGTTAAAAATTCAAATTTAATAAAAAATAGTTTTATATGATGTATAAATAAACATTTAACAGGAATGATATTCAGCAAAACAATTTTTTATGTTCGAAAGACATAGTGCGAAGTTACATATTTAACATATTCATCTGGATCGCGCTTCTTGGCTAAATTGCTATATTTTTTGAATCTCCTTCTCGATCCGCACTTGACTGACAAATGTTTTGATTCATATTGCCCCACTTTCATCCGCCTTCTTTTCCGGCAAAATATCTCCATTTATCAATTCTATCGAGATTTCTCTTCTTAATATTTCGCTCTGTTTAAAGTTGAGTGTATGTCTTGAATATAACATAAATCATCAATAAATCTTATCGAAACTTTTTAAGATAAAAAAAATGATACGATTGATTGCGAATAAAATAACAATCGTTGAAATGATAACTTTTCTTGAATGACACTTACAAAAAAAAACATTCTATTTATAACAATAATATAATAGAAGTATGTGGCCTATCTTCATGATAATTAGATGTAACCATATTTTATAGATATATATTTTTATATTATAACACGTCAATCATATAATCACGTGGTGTTTTATATATATAGTTGATATAACATAGAAAGAGGAGATATATTATTATTAAATTTTTGGTAAATTTATTTTTGAAAATGATTATTGTATGTTTTTATTAAATAAAAAAGAAGTTCTTTATAATTTTATCTATTTCTATATAGCTTTAGAACGTCTTTTAGGTACGCAATTTCGGTTAAAATTTAAATTGAGTAAATAAAATTAAGGGTGAAAGAAAGGGGTTTTTATAGTATGGACAGAGTTGGGCCATTGCCTTTATATGGTAATGATGGTGCACAGCTCTGGGTGCCCTATTGCGGCTTCGCCGCTACATCCTACCAACTTTCCCCTATTTGCGAGAAAGTTGTGGATGTAACTGAATACCTGGGCCTTTATGGCTTTAGTATTCCTAAGGCTTTATTATAATAACTAATCAAAAATTTTCGATATTACCAAATATAGAAAAAGAAAACAATAATGATAGTAAACAGTAATATAAGGGTATTTATATAAATAAATATTGTAAGGATGTATCGTTCTGATGTTTGATTATTGTTAGACATCCAAATTCGTGATGGTTCATCTGCAGGGTTGTCTTCGGACGGTATCCATTGGATGTTTTGTGAGACGCAAGTAAAGTTAACGAGGCCCAGCTTCTGTAGAATTTGGGTAACGACGATTTCTATTGACGGGGACCTGGATCCGCCTTTCCTGAAGGTGTAATAGGTCACAGTAGAATCTGTAAAGATCATGGGTCGTTGCCCCTCGCTCAGCGCTAGGATGGCTCCCATTCCTGCCGCAAGCACTTCTTTGGCGTTGATATGCGCTATCGCATGGCTTGGAATATTGAAGAGGAGACAATATAACCCCGCACAAATATGCTCACCGCTATATGTCATTCCAAAATCGGACGGATCGCCAAGAGTCATCAGCGATTTTTCTCAAGTGTCCAAGAATTTCTTGCACTACCCGTTCAAGCTCAAATCAATTCCCCTGATGTCCGCCAAACTAAACCAGGCCAGATTTGCCTGCAAAATAGACATAAGATCGGCATTCTTTTCCATACCTTTAGCCGAAAGTGCCCGCCCCTTCTTCGGGGTTAGATTTGACAATACAAACTATGCCTATAAGGTTCTCCCCATGGGCGCCTCATACAGCCCGTATTGCTTACAATTTATCATTCTCGACGCCTGTGCTAAAACTGTCAGGAAGGCCTTTTACAACGTTTATCTGGACGATATCCTAATCTACGGGGATACTGAATTTGACGTCAAGTGGTCCACTAGATCACTGCGCTGTACATTAGAAGGATGGGGGCTCCAGATAGCCGCGGAAAAATCGGTTTTAGACCCTACCGACAAAATATCATACCTAGGAGTCCCGATCGATCTCACAAATAAAACAATAACAGCTGACACAAATACTAGGCGGCGTCTCGAGAAATGCTTACAAATATTCAGGCGGCATTCATACCAACACCTCGAGCTAGGGCGAGACTTAGCAGCAAATGTTTTAGGCGTAGTAAACCATTATGCATATACTATCACTGGCATGTCCAGACTATTTTCACCGTATTATATTACTATGAACAATGCGCCACTTACTCCAGTCACTGATTCATATCTCGCATTTCGCAAAGCAAGTATAATAATCGAAGCGATGAAAGAGCCACTGGCTCTACGTTATTACGCGAATACCCCAGTCTATACCGACGCGTCGAACTCACACATTGGTATCTGCCTATGGGACACCAATTTTACCTCAGTTTTGTACAATGAGGCTTGTCTCCTCTTCAATATTCCAAGCCATGCGATAGCACATATCAACGCCAAAGAAGTGCTTGCGGCAGGAATGGGAGCCATCCTAGCGCTGAGCGAGGGGCAACGACCCATGATCTTTACAGATTCTACTGTGACCTATTACACCTTAAGGAAAGGCGGATCCAGGTCCTCGTTAATAGAAATCGTCATTACCCAAATTCTACAGAAGCTGGGCCTCGCTAACTTTACTTGCGTCTCACAAAACATCCAATGGATACCGTCCGAAGACAACCTTGCAGATGAACCATCACGAATTTGGATAGCTAACCGAGAACATCTAGACCTGTTCGGAGATAGAATATTAACTGGACAAACTAGCCTACAAGAGGAAGATGCCTTATTCGGTACAGAATCAACTATTGACACACCCTCTCTAATCTCTAACCTACCGAGTATGAACTCCACTATCTCTCACCAATGGGAGAACATCTCAATCAGCTCCCGTGACCTTGCTCTCAACTAATCAAAAATTCTCTAACAATAATCAAACATCAGAACGATACATCCTTACAATATTTATTTATATAAATACCCTTATATTACCGTTTACTATCATTATTGTTTTCTTTTTCTATATTTGGTAATATCGAAAATTCTACGTCCTATTATGACTCGAATCAAGGTGTTCCGTGAAAATCGGTCCTTTCGGGACAGGGGCTACGTCCCCTCCACGTCCAACACTTACAGGAGACCCGAAAGGAAAGACGCGGCCACCACCAGGGGTAAGAAAAGGAAGTAGTCTTACCCTGGTCTCTATCTCTTCCATTCTCCTGCTACCTTCTACACTATCTCTTTCTACTACTTCTCACGCAGCCCTTCCGGGGGAGGTTGCGACGGGGGCTTCACCGCTACATCCTACCAACTTTCCCTTCTACTGTGACCTATTACACCTTCAGGAAAGGCGGATCCAGGTCCCCGTCAATAGAAATCGTCGTTACCCAAATTCTACAGAAGTTGGGCCTCGCTAACTTTACTTGCGTCTCATAAAACATCCAATGGATACCGTCCGAAGACAACCCTGCAGATGAACCATCACGAATATGGATGGCTAACCGAGAGCATCTAGACCTGTTCGGAGATATAATCTTAACTGGACCAATTAACCTACAAGAGGAAGATGTCTTCTTATTCGGTACAGAATCAACTATTGGCACACCCTTTCTAATCTCTAACCTATCGAGTATGAACTCCACTATCTCTTACCAATGGAAAAACATCTCAATCAGCTCCCGTGACCTTGCTCTCAACTAATCAAAAATTCTCTAACAATAATCAAACATCAGAATGATACATCCTTACAATATTTATTTATATAAATACCCTTATATTACTGTTTACTATCATTATTGTTTTCTTTTTCTATATTTGGTAATATCGAAAATTTTTGATTAGTTATTATAATAAAGCCTTAGGAATACCAAAGCCATAAAGGCCCAGGTATTCAGTTACATCCACAACTTTCTCGCAAATAGGGGAAAGTTGGTAGGATGTAGCGGCGAAGCCTATTAAACTTTTTACAAATATATTTAATTCGATCCAAAATTATTTTGACAATTACTTTTGTTATAAAATAATTTTTATTTTTATTGTAAGGCATGTATACAAAATTTTGTTTTTATAATAAGAATCAAAAAAGTTTGCAAATGATAAAAGCAATAGTTCTTATAAAATCGGGTTAGGTTTCGCACTCAATTACGTTATTCCTTGCAAAAAAAATTTTAAGACAAATTTAGATATTTTTACAAGTTTGCATCATCTTCCAACACGCTATCGTTTCCGTTACATTTTGTTCGGAAGCCAATTCGCATTTCATTATCTTGATCAATACACAATTTGAAGAGTATTTAATATCAACTAGATCAGAATAAAGGTTGTTCCATCCTTCATATTGTTTGTTACTATGTTCTCCTTCAGATAGAATACTGATTCACATTCCAATAATTAGACGTGTCTGTGACTGAGAATCGAGCCTGTAACCACTTTTTTTATACTCCATTGACATAATTTATTATCGAAATAGCCGAGAATATCCTTTCCATTGTTAGAACTTAAGGGACTAACCGTTCTTACTTTTAGAAATGTCATTGCACTGGCCATATCAGATAATGGAACTAAGGTTAAGCCTTCCGTCATGTGCCACAAATGAGATGTAAACGTCGGTATCAAATTAAAAAAAAGCTAGGAGAGTCGTGCAAATGATTTTATTTAGATGAAAGTTAGAAACAACAATCACTAAGGATAATTGGTCTGCTTCGCTCGACGGGAGATAATAAGTCGAAATTTGTTAGTCAATGCTTTAATGAACAATTTATAATTTTGTAATAAAAAATTATTTTATAAACACTACATGATGAAAAATATTATTTATTATTCGATTAATATTCGAATATCCTTTTTACTAATCGAATAAGAATAATATCATTCGTCAGTGATACAGGCTGAAAGGATTAAAGTTGGTAGGCACATAAATTTTGTACCAGCAATAAGAATATATTAATTTTTTTTAATTTGAGTGACAAGGGGGTACATTAAAAATAAAAATTGATTTTATGTACAATGATTTCTAAACAAGTCGCACACATCCAATGATGTATAGTATATACTACTAGATTGACAATTCATTAATTAAAGAGTGTCCATACATAGGAGTCAGCTGTAGCGCCATGGTTTGCAAGTAGACTAATTGTCTTATCTATCATTATATGAATGCTATTAATGTCATTTAATCCTTGTGCAAACCACAAATGGCGCTACTAATTTCTAAGTATGAAAACTTTTAAATGCATATATGAATGAATCGCCTAAACATTAGTTATACAATTATTACACAAACCCTTCTATTTCATTCTAAAAACGAATAAAAAAATACCCAAACCCAAAAACATTGTATTATTTTTGGAACATGGAATGGGAATTTAATAGGTTTAAAAAATATTTCCCTCCCAAAGTATGTACATATTTTTTATCAATGTAAACTAAAAAAAATTATATATTTTATATTTATTTATCTTTGCCCCTCCCCCTTCTTTTTTGGATAATTTTAATCATGATCCAGTGTGAAAATAGTCATATTTGAATACAACATAATTTTAAAATATTTACCAGTTTAAAATGGATCGTGAATATTGAACTGGGGTGGTTTCGCTAAAAGGGATTTAATGTTAAACGCAACGGAATCAATAAATCAATATGTATGTTTTCTTTAAGAAAATGGATGTATATAATCACCAGATACCTACCTGTAGAGGTCAAAATTTCAGGGCCCCACCCGGATTCAAAAATAAATTTATTCTCAAGTCTGGACCGGATCTAAATAAAAAAATTGGCCCAGTCCGGATTTTTATTTTTAAATATTTTATAACCCGTCTCAGGTTATTAAGCCTATCCCGGTTCGGATTTTTAAAAGATCTCGGATTTTGTTTTCCAAAGTGGATAGTGTTTATAAGCAGCCTATAAAAAAAATTGTAGTCAAGATAAACAAACGACATTAATATAATCAACATGCATAAAAAGTGAATATTTTTATTAAATATAATATTTAAAATTTTTAGGATCGAAGAAAGTGGTAAGTAACAATTAAGAAATTATATTTTTTTAAAAAAGGAAAAGTATTAATGTACAATGTCAAAAGAAAAAATTTCAATGGGTGCAAGAATTCACCTAGAAACTGTCATAAATGTATGTCTGAGAATGTTATAAAATTACATTTAACACCAACTTCAATTGAAAAAAAATATATTGCAAATCATAAATATTATCTAAATATTCTGAAAATTAATGAACTTTTCTTGTAAAAAGGATACCTTTAATGGGATGCTTCTATCTACATGTCTAATGTAAAATACCTCTTTCATCGAGCATTTATTTGTCTAGATATAAAAATTTTTTTGACCAACTCTGTGGATAGCTCATATATTAAATATTAAAATACCATTAACTAACCACAATTTTAATGATATTCTTCTTCTTTTAATAAATTAAAGCAGATGTTTAACAAAAACGGTAATATTTATTTTTATTTAAAAAAACCTGATTTTGATAAGTCGATGCTACATTGTTCGTCGCTTTTTGCGCGTTGAGTGAGACTTTATTCTCGTCATTGGGGGTAAAATTAGAGCCATAATTGTGATTTTTTACAAAATTCGTCCCATTGCTCACCAAGCTCCAAGAAGACACGCTACTAAATTATAATATTTTTTTAAACCGATATTTTTGGCATTTTGCACAAAAAACTTTAAAGTTTTAAAATAAAAACTAATCAAAAGATTTGCCTATATTTTTTTTTACAAGATTTGGAACTTTAGGTAAAACTTGATAAGAAATCTCGAAAAAATTTTCACAGATCAAAATCTTTGTTTATATTTAAAAGCATTTCAAACTCTACTTTAAAAAAATTTTATATTATAATTTTAAATTTAAAAAAAATGCGAACGCCCGATTCGGGCCGATTTTTAAAAACGATCTGTCTATGGTTTTAGGCAAAATAATATGTGAGCCTGGAAATTTTGCCTATAGATGGCAGAAAAGTTTAGACCTCTATTTGTTAAATCTCGAGGTTTAAAGGATATTATTTTGGCTAAAATCTTAATCGAGTCGTTTTTAAAAATTGAAAATAATCAGGCTTTTTCAACAACCCTAAATAAAATTTCTTATTTTTCCAGAAAATTGAAACACATGCATTTTTGCCTTCAGGTGAAAAATAAATGATTACCCTGAAAGGGGACTTTAATTTTATTAAAGGCGTCATCTTGCTAATAACAATCAATCAGTTGACAAAATAATTGTTGTAATATTCAAATGAGTTAAAGAAAAATGAATAAAAAAAATGTATTATTCAAAATAGATAAAGTTCAAGATTATTTAAGTTTGTTGTTTAAACACTATGTAAATATATAGTATAGAAAAGTATATATAATCGGGAATATTTTACTTGAAAAATTAATTATTATTATTATTTTGCGAACTTAATTTTTAATCTTTTAATTTTAATTATGATTATGTAATTACAAATTATATTAATTAATAAAGTATTAGTAGTTAATTTATTTATACTAATTATTTGTATTCTCTTTAATTCTTACAACATTTGTTACCGAAACATTATGTTCTATGGGCATATTCAGTCTAATTAACTTTTCATTATTTGACAATAATGATTCTTTTATTTTATTTCAATTTACGACAAAAAATATAAAGTTCTAGTTGTCTAATCGAAAATAGATTATAAAATCTCAACTTGCCGGCTCATCATGGATGAATAAACTCTTTTCATAAACTGTACGCTCTTTTAGTTTTAGCCATAAAAAAATGGAAATGCTAATTCTTATTAACTAACAATACACATGTATACTTTTTATCTTCATCCGAGATGTAGTTGGTATTGGTTGCGTTGTTGCAATAAGACTCATTCCTGGACACTATGGAAGAGGGTGAAACGCTTTTAACGAAATTATTAGGATTGCCAAAATAACTGATTTGAGTTTGCGGACTGGCAGGAAACGACTTAGAGGTCGTGGCGGAAGATGACATAAATTCTTGCAATTTTTCGGCTCGTTTCTTTTCATTAACGAATTGACGTTTCATATCTTTCAACTAAATGAAGGGAGGGGGGGGGGTGAAAATTGAGATCAATATTAATTAGGAGGTAGTAGGTAGTGTTGTTAAACGGTTTGTTTTGAGCCGATTTTTAAAAACGGCTAACTCAATATTTTAGCCAGAAAAATATTGCCTAAGCCTCGAGATTTCGATAATATATGTCTAGACCTTTGTTCCTTCTATGAGCAGAATCTTCAGATTTACGTAATATTTTTCTGGATAAAATATTGAGTTAGCCGTTTTTAAAAATCGGTTCAAAAAGAGCCGTTTAACAACACTAGTAGTAGGCAATCAAGATTTAAGTCAAAAATAAAAATACCAAAATTTCGAGATTTTGCCCCAAAGTGGTGACAAAATTTTCTTCCATCTTATGATTAAATATCAAGGCTTATGTAATATTATGCAGGGTTATATTTTATTTCGCTGTTTTTAAAAAGATAGGTTAAATCAAGGTTTCTAACAACACGAATCCTAACTCGTTAACGAAAACTTTATTTTTTTTTTGAAAATGTCATTTGATAGAAACAACAGTAATTTTGATTATAGGTATTTCGAAATGAAAAATTTTGAGGGGAGTCTAAAACAAGCTAATAATTTATGGGTCCAAGAAATTACTAGTGTAAAGTAGATAGACTGCACCCTAGCTCATATTAATCTTTGTTCTTAATATAAAAACAGCCAGCCCTCGGATACTTATTATAATTATAGATTTTGAAATAAGGTCAGAAAATGATAACCTTAAAATACGATAAGTTTTACATTATTTATTCTTTTTAAATCTAACATTTACATTCTAATCAGACCTTCACTTATAGCTCTAAAAAGAAAAAAAAGTGACTAGCTAGTAGATAACCATGTCATCAAATATTCAAACATAATCTTTCTCTAATCGGATGAAAATAAAACAAACAAATAATTATTAATCTTTTTTAACTTGGGAATTCAATTTTTTCTCGCAAATCTTATAATCATCCTTCAATTCGTTCAAATCTCGCGTCAAATTTGCGTTATCCTCCTTCAGATTTTTGACTTCTTCTCTCAGATTATTAACGAGACCATCCTTTTGCTTAGAAAAATATGAATAAAACAAAATTAATTTAATTTGAAAAAATTTATTTGACCTATTTATTCGTTGGTTACAATGAGACGAGAGAAAAGATGTTAACTTTGAAAAAAAAAAATTCCTGATAAACGATTTGAAAGAGATAATCTAGCTGTATTCAACCCAAAAAATATGGCTTCTAAAGAAGCTAATATCGATTTTTGTATATTAAATAAAACTGATTATTTTTCTTTTTATACTGGGTCCAAATTGAACTATTAGTTTAGTAGTTAACAAAGTTTTAAAATAACAATGTTAATCGAATTAATATTTTAGTTTTTCAAATTTTGATTATAAATATATTTTTTAAATATTCAAAAAAATATACATTAATTTAAATCTCAAATATTATTAATATACATCTTATATTTAGTATACATTGTTAAGTATATGTTATATATTTTCTCAACTCAATAACAGATGATTTTTATATTTTATCTTTAACTAATTTATGATTATACTTGCATCTCACGAGAAAATCTATAAAGTTAAAACATTTTAATTAATATAGGGGCTAGTTGAACTATAGGACATGTCATACATAAAATTAAGAATCTAGCTTATTTAAACCTTAGCCTATTATAGATTTTAATGGTGTAAATCTGCACATTAAATTATTTTAGAAATAATTATTTATAATTTTATATAAGACAAGAAAATTTGATATCAATTTTGTAATTAATATTATATCTTTGGCTAATTTATTTATACATGTATCTCACGAGAAAATCTATAGTTATAAAAACGTTTTAATAAAATCTTTATGCAATGAGCGCAGCTTTAAATTAACCAATCATGTCTTATTGTCCCCCAGGTGTTGCGATGGATATAGTCCATATACCAAAGTTATAAAAGAACATGATGTTAAAGTATCTTCGAAGACTGATATTAATATCATGTGAACTTGCATGATATATCCAAAAATGTTAGCTGCTTTTTTTCCAAATCATTTTTGCTATTTGCAAAAGAAGACATCATTATTCAAATTTATATATATAGATTTGGAAAGTCCAGTAAAATCTCAATCTATAAAACTATCTCATTCTAGAACACTTCATTCTTTAACACTTTCACATTCTCCACCCAAGGTCATATTTATAAACTGAAAAATAAAAACAAATCTCCATCTAGGGTATTTTAACTTTCTAGAACAATCCTTCTAGAGCATTTCCTCTTTCTAGAACACCTTCTCTCTCTAGAGCATTTCCTCATTCTGGAACATCTTTTCCATTTAGAATAATTTCTCTTTCTAGAAAACCTTCTTCATCTAGAGCATTTCTACCAAATATATTATGAAATTTGAAATAAATTTTAAAAATTAAAATGCCATTTTATCGGATAGAAAAATTATATAATATTGGCAGATAACCCATATTTTTAAAAAGATGAAATATCGGCCAGATCCGATTCGATAAAAAATACCCCCCCCCCCCCTTTAATGAACATACGAAAATATGTATAAATAACCAACCTTTATTTCCGCTTCAAAATTTCGAGAGGCTTCCTCCAAATCGCTGCCCAAATTTTGGAGATCGTTTTGTAATTCCTTCACCCGATCTTCGGATGATCTTAGATTTTTCTCCATTACCGTTGCCGTTAAACACTCTTCAATATAATTTTTCTATTTATTTTTAAAAAAAACTCGTTAATTAAGTTAAGTTATAATATATACAAATGTACCTTGTAACCATCGAGCTGAGAAACTAATTCGTTAGTCCTTTTATCGCGTTCCGCCTCGGTTTTATCCAATGTTTGCGTCAGTTCCGAAATGGTTTGATTACAATCCACAAATCGTGATTCATAATTTCGGTTGGAGGCTAGGCATTGATTCAAAGATTCTTCCCTTGACTTTTTTTTACAAATAAAAAATATTATGTAAAAGTATGATCAAGGCTAGATTCTTAGTGGAATCAGATCCGACGCGATAACAGCTGATCGTTTTTTAAAAAAAATCAGTTTTATAAAGATCAATTTTTTCTTTATTAAAATTAATTCTATTCATTGGTGTTGTTAAATGATTAAGCCGAGTCGATTTAGCCGCTACTCGTAGTTTCTAGTCGAAAAAACGACTCTAACTCGAGTTGACTAAATGAGCCGTGTTAGTCGGTTCGCGAGACGATCCTGAGCCAGATTTTTAAGGAAATTTATAATATCTCATATAAAAATCATGAAAACGAGTTCATTCAAGTTTGACTAAAAGTCGCTAATCAATTTGGTCGATTAACCTATTTCTGAACTCATGTCGATGAATAAGTCCCTATCAAAAAATGGAATGGGTCAATCAAAAAAAGAAAAGATCCGACCAAAAAAGGAAAAGTGTTAATAAAAAAAGAAAAAGTTCAAAAGGCTTAGGAAAAAGTTGGATCAAAAAAGGAAAAGTGTCAATTAAAAGAAGAAAAGTGGTTATCAAAAAAGGAAAGTAGTCAATCAAAAAGGAAAATGTGTTAATCAAAAAAGGAAAATCAATTTTTTAAAAATATTTTTAAGAAAACAAACTTTTTTTCTTGTCAATTTTTCCTAAATTTATAATTTTATCTTCTTATTTTGCAATCTCTTTACGTCATGTTTAATCATAATTTTTCTTAATCTTTTCATATTTTTTCTTCTTCTCATTTTTGAACATTCTTTTTTGTCTTTTTAAAAATAATTTGTTTATTATTAATTTTCACTTAATTTTTATTTCTCATCGCAGACAAATTTTTTTTTTATTAGTTTATATTAATCATCAATAATTTCCTCTCTACATTTTGGAATATAGATCTCCATATTTCTAAAATAATTCTTTGTATTCTCCTCAAATATTCCTCTCTCTTCATGCTCTATAAAACGAGTTAATTCCTCCCCGTTATTGGGATTTTGATTTCAGACGAAATGCTTCCATTGGAGAAACACATTTTCAAAGGGATTAAGATAAGGACTGTAAGGTATATTTTTATAAATCACCTTACAGTCCTTATCTAAATTCTATTGAAAATTGTATTGTATGTCCTCTTCTTTCCATTGATTCCCTAATTGTATGGTCAAGGTGAGATAGAACATTATCAATCAAAAAATTATATTCATCATGTTATATTACCTTCTTCAAAATGATTTAATATTACATTTACAAAGTTGCTAAAGTGTATAGCGTTGCAGGGGACATCAAGAACCTCCAATCTGAATAATACCGCAATCGTGAGAGCAGCAATGCTAGTTTAATTCATTGTCTTTATCAGAGTTGTTAACGCTCCTTTATAAAAGTAGCTAACTCCCGCTCCTACCTTCTCAAAAGGAACTAGCTCCCGCTCCCGCTACTACATTTTTTAAAGTAACTAGCTCCCGTTCCAAGTAATGGAGTACCACTCCATAACCGCTCCTTTGATTTTCAATTTTTTCGAAGGTACACGAAACTCATATTATTTTATCAAAAGTTTTAATTATTAAATGATGTATCAAAATATTTATAATTTATTAGCTTTTAAAAGTAAAAAATTTTCTAAATTAGAATCTAACAAACATCCACGCCTCTCCCCTAAGACCTGTTTTGTAATACTAAATAGGCGCTTCACAGGAGCACTAGAGGGGATCGGGGTATTATATTTTATAAAGATATTTTTTAATTCATGAAATTTAGCAAAAATAGTAATTTTGGTATCATTATTTAAAAATTATTGTCCAATATATTATCTTCCTGATGATCAATTTCACGGAATGTAAAAAAATCTTCCAAATCATTGCAGGGTTCCCGTGAACTAGTAGCTGTTTTTGCATCAGGTTTTTGTTTTCTTAAAAAATTAATCAATTTATATTTTTGTTCCATATTTTGTGGATTTTTTATCCATTCCCAATTTAATTTGAAAGCAGGATGGATAATAGCTGCAATGATATTACCATAATTATAAACATTTGATAATCTGCAATAAAGTTATTTAAATAGATATAATTTATTTTTTATTATAAACCTTTTATTTATACCTCTTATAAGAGAGACTTTACAAGAGGTTGGCAAAACTCTAAATCTGCTAAGTCGTTTAATAAATAAGTTTGGAAATTGTTGGAGTTAGGAAACCCATATCCATATGATGCTCACCTTCAAGGATTTTTAGAGCTTTTTTCAAAGGCTCAACCTAAAATTTATTTATTTCACTAAGATAACGATTATATTATTATTTACTTAACTATACTCTTTAACAAATTTACATTCTTGAGAGTTAAAGCGTATAAGACCATGGTTATCACATAACTCATCGAGGTCTTTTTGTTTTCCCTATATTTTATCCATCAAAACCATGGCTTCATAGTATGAATTCCACCTAGTGGAATTTGGACATATCACTACCCAATTTTTTCATATTACATGCCATATAGGTAGACATATTTAGCTTATTCCATAAAAATTGACACTTTTGGAAAGAAATTTGCGATATTATTTTAAAGCTATTATGAACTAAAGCTTTCTCAGCATCAACTGTAGCCACCAAATTGATGGCAGGCACATCGTGAATGTTGTGGAAGATAATCATAGCCTTCTATCCTGTTATTTATGATATCATCAACATCCACAAATTGGAAATCTTCATCAATCTCAGAACTTTTATTTTCAAACATTCTAAAATATAAAAGGAAAGTTATAATATAAAAATAAATAATTAAGATTACCTGAATGCTTTCACAAAGTTTATACCATTATCAGTAATGGTTTTTATTACTTAGTTCTGAATTTTGAAACTATGTATATCACTAATAATCTTGGCCAAAACATCGAAAGTATGCTTGCCTTGAACACGCTTTAGGGCTAAAGCTGCAGATTTTCTTTGCAATGACTTTGGGTCAATCCAATGAGCTGTTACACCCAAAAAAGACCTTTATAAGAAAGTTAAATTAATCAAGCACATTTAAAAAGATAGGCACTAACCTTTTAAATCCACTTTAGCAATCAGCTGTGGTACACACATAAGATACTTCAGATAGCATTTCTATAATATCATCTATCATTTTATCATAACGCAAACTTATCTTTGCTACTAATGTTTGGCGGCACATTACCTTTGCTGAGGGGGAAAACGTTTTTATCATTTTGACAAAGCTAAGATTGTCTACAGTTGATAATGGAACTAATGTCTCAATGACATAATCAATAATTGCATTATCTCCTTCAGTTTTTGAAGGTTCATAATTTTTTTGACTAAAATTTAATAGTGACTGTTTTTTCTCAGGAGACTTTATTTTTTGGCTAATAATAGTGAAAGGCTCCCTTTCCTAGATGACCTCGAAAATATCATTATCTTCCTTCCTAGGAGTCAAAATTTGATAATCCTTGGGGACTTGAACACTAGGATTGGAAAGGAGGATTCCTTTATTAGAGACAGGGTAATTGACAATGCAACCATCTCTCAATAAATAGTGATGACAGTAGGAAGGTCTTGAAGATGTGTAGAAGTATGAACCTTAAAGTTGAGAATACCTTCTCCCACAATTAATACAACACTCTAACTTTTAGAAGAAATAATATCAAATCACAGATCGATTTTTTCATCTCTAACATTCATATTTAGTTTTTAGATGTAAAAGTAATGTCGATCATTAATAATTCTGATCATAATATAATCAGGGCAAGTATCACCGTGAGGAATTTATGGGGTAACTCTCAGCGTCTCGCTATCCAAACCCAGCCTAGATACCTTCCCTGAAAAAGGAATAATAACTACAACGGCAGGAAGTAAAGCTGCAGTTGGATCAAAATTTAAGTGATGGGGTTTTGGAAATAAAAAAAATTGTCGGAAGGTAACAAACATGCCACAAAAACCACTTTTTGAACATAATTTTTTATTAAACATATTTTCAAAATACTTAAAAAGTATTGAAATTATTAAGCATTTTTTTTTATTTTATCCATAATTACTATTTTTTATAAATGTAACCAAAAAAAGATACCAAGTTCCATTCCTTTGCCTAAATCCTAGCTATCTTATATAATGTGTTAGTAAATTGTTAAAAACTCAATTTCGGCATTTTAATCTTCAATATATTGACAATTAATTCGAAAATTACAAACTGGAAAAAAGCATCTTGTAAATATATGGAGTATACGATTTAAATCGTATCCACGGTACTTGGGATTTTATTTCTATCAAGATTTTATAAAAAAAAGAGTAAAACATCCAAAAATTAACCTTCAATTTTTTCAAAAGTAGCTCGATATCGGGTTGAAGCCCCATATGTAAGACATTAGCTAATTTTAGTATCCTTTCATCCAAATAGTCTAGTTTGTTTCCTATTGAGGTAGCTTGCAAGCAAGGATTCCAGCATTCGAATATATTTTTGTAAACGGTTACAAGGTTACGATAACATTCCGGAATTTGATTGTGTCGTTGAGATTCTAGAGTTCTTATTCATAATTTGTTTAAAAATAAATAAAAAATCTTTCTATTTTCTTAAAAAAATAGATGATAAATGAATATGATTATTGTTATTTTCAAAAGCTTGATGTGGTAAATGGACATATAATACTTACCTAGACCGACATTAGAATGTTTTGAAGCATCATTGAATACAAATCATTTGATGTTACGCCATTTTGATTTTCCGTATAACAATTTATATAAATAAATATTTTTTTAAAAAAACGTTTTCACAAATTATATGCGAAATCAAAACAGCGTGACCAGCTGATTTGTATACACATTTAAATGAATGAATCGTCAGTAATTTTTGATTAATATAAAAGTCGCCATTCTCGTAATGAAATATGATAGTCACGTGGCCATTAATTTTATAAGGAAGTGACAAAATAGGAAAGCACCCGTGATTTGATACCTTTAATGGAAGACTAATAAGTAACAAGGTTTTGATCATTCTTTATCTAGTATTTTAACCAATAAATTACAAAACATATCTGATATTTGAAAATGGTAGATAGAACATTATTTTATTACAAAGAATGAAAAAGATGTCAGATTTGTTTTATTTATTTTGATGGTTTTTAAGGTTGGCCTTGGCAAATAACTTATAAAAAATTTTAAATCGGTATAATTTTTTATAATGTGAATTCATAGCTGCCTGGTTGAGGTTATAATTATAAATGTTGTAATTATAAACTTTAATTGGTACATATAAGTACATTTATATTATTTATGTTGAAAGGGGTAAATTAATATTTTATTTTATATTTTTTTTTGGTGTCTCGTTTGGAAAGTTTAAATTAAAAAATTAATTTAAAACCTTTATTTTGTAAAATTTGAATTAAAAAATAATAATTTAAAGACTTTAATTGATAAAGTTTTATGGAAGTGGTGTATAAACACATTTATATTCTTTATATTGAAAGGGGTAAGTTAATATTTTATGTCATATTTTTTTTTTGTCTCGGTTGTAAAGTTTAAAAAAAAATAAATAATTTAAAGACTTTAATTGATAAAGTTTTGTTTTGGAAGTTGTATATGAACACATTTATCGTCTTTATATTGAAGGGGTAGGTTAACATTCTATGTTAGTTTGTTTTTGTCTCGGTTAGAGAGCTAAATTAGAAAATTAATTAAATTTTTTTTGTAGCGTTGGGAGAACTAAATTAGAAAATTAATTTAAAAAACTTTACAGAGCTAAATTAGAAAATTAATTTAAAAAACTTTAATTGGTAAAGTTTAAAACTTTAATTGGTAAAGTTTAAAACTTTAATTGGTAAAGTTTTGTTTGGAAGTTGTGTGTAAAAACATTTATATTAAAAGGGTAAGGTAATATTTTATTTTATATTTTTTTTTCTTTTCCCTCGTTTGTAGAATTTATATTAGGAAATTAATATTCAAGATGGAGACGCTATCCCGGCTCATTGACATGGGAGATTTTTATTTACAGGTTACCCTTATAAAGAAAAACAACGGGATGACGCTAGCAACGGGTTCCGCTAATGAGAATCAGCCCCCGATTCAGGAGACGCGACGACGTAGATGTTTTAATTGTCAAGAGGTGGGACATTTACGGCATTAGTGTTCTCGGCTATCGCGGGAGACGCGCGTACCCCTGGAGGTCATATCTTAAAATCGTATCTATCAAGGACAGAAGCGGGGACATCACGATTCAGAGGGAAGACAACCAACAGACGCAGCTCCCTCAGGGTTAGATAGGGAGATGGAGATTCCGTGGATATTCGTCGTGTGGATGTTCGGGATCAGTTTGTGAATGGAGTCCGAGGTACAGATGGAGGAGATTTTTTGCAGAGATTAGTGACCAATACACTAACAGCTGATGCTTCGCAAACGGCACGAGCTGATGATTTCTGGGTGAATCCAATGTCTATTTAAGAAGATTATTCTTTAAATAATGTAAGTTTTTTTTTGTAGATATTTTGTTTTTTTCCGCGTTTTTGTTTTATTTCTAACGATATGCCACGATCCCATAAAGGGGTGGCATGTCGTATTCGTAAATACGTTTACAATATATATTTTTTTTTACATTCGATATAATTGTAGTTATAAATATATATAGTATATATTATAACACGTCACTCATAATCACGTGTTTTTTTTATGGAATATCGTAGTTATATAATATAGATGTATGATTTTATTTTATTATTTTTTTTTTGTGGAATGATATTATTATTGATATTATCGAAAATAAATTTGTTCTTTCTTTTAGAAGTGTTGGGTTAGTCTTTAGGATTTGTCTTTTTATTTTAGAAGCATTGAGTTAGTTTCTAGGATTTGTTTTAGGTAGGTTTTGTTTTTGTTGTAGTTTGTGATTGTAGGATTTTTTAGTCCTCCAGGGGTACGCGCGTCTCCCGCGATAGCCGAGAACACTGGTGCCGTAAATGTCCCACCTCTTGACAATTAAAACATCTACATCGTCGCTTCTCCTGAATCGGGGGCTGATTCTCATTAGCGGAACCCGTTGCTAGCGTCATCCCGTTGTTTTTCTTTATAAGGGTAACCTGTAAATAAAAATCTCCCATGTCAATGAGCCGGGATAGCGTCTCCATCTTGAATATTAATTTCCTAATATAAATTCTACAAACGAGGGAAAAGAAAAAAAAATATAAAATAAAATATTACCTTACCCTTTTAATATAAATAATATAAATGTTTTCACACACAACTTCCAAACAAAACTTTACCAATTAATGTTTTTTAAATTAATTTTCTAATTTAGCTCTGTAAAGTTTTTTAAATTAATTTTCTAATTTAGCTCTCCCAACGCTACAAAAAAAATTAAATTAATTTTCTAATTTAGCTCTTTAAACGAGACAAAAACAAACTAACATAAAATATTAACCTACCCCTTCAATATAAAGACGATAAATGTGTTCATACACAACTTCCAAAACAAAACTTTATCAATTAAAGTCTTAAAATTATTTTTTTTTTAAACTTTACAACCGAGACAAAAAATAAATATGACATAAAATATTAACTTACCCCTTTCAATATAAAGAATATAAATGTGTTTATACACCACTTCCAAAAAACTTTATCAATTAAAGTCTTTAAATTATTTTTTTTTAATTCAAATTTTACAAAATAAAGGTTTTAAATTAATTTTTTAATTTAAACTTTCCAAACGAGACACCAAAAAAAATATATAAAATAAAATATTAATTTACCCCTTTCAACATAAATAATATAAATGTACTTATAACAATTTTCGAAAAAAAAAACAACTGTACCAATTAAAGTTTATAATTACAACATTTATAATTATAACCTCAACCAGGCATCTACACCCCTCACTCCCTCTACAATACTTTTTAACAAAAAACAAAATATGCCGCAATCAGAAAATCAATATCTCTGTTATAACTCACAACAACATATTAACAAATGTTTTTATCTTCTCTTTACCATAAACCTTCCATCTCATAACATTAAAATATATACTTCTTTTTTTTTACAAGAAAACATAACATGCTTGCCGATAAGTAATTAAAATATCAAATCAGATATCAAATCAATTTCTCTACTCAATATATGACTCCTCTTTATCCATTAACAAAATAACATACTACCATTTTCCATTTTTCAACCTTTATTTATAGCTAACAACTGGTAACCTCAATGAATATCAACCTTTCCCATTACAAAACATGAAATAATTTAAACCAATACTAAATACATCAAAACAAAAAAAATTACCAACAGTTCATTTACATTTAATTTCCCTTTTATGCTTAATTTTTGCATAAATATATATACGTATCACTTTAAGCCTCTCCTATTTGATCCTTTACTTACCATTCCCACATACAATACGTTACCCAAACCTTCATTTACACCTTATATATTTGCTCGGAAACGAGTCTAATCCTTCGGGATGCACCTTCATTTATTTATATATATATTTTCATATTTATATTATCATATGAGGTACCTCAGATTTACTCCCGCGGTCGTATATGATCATTGTGGCGCATAACTGTGCCGCCCATTTCTAATTGAATCAAATTCAACTTTGAACCTCTGTTTACCCCAACAATGCCCTTGGCCCATTTCTTGCCCCTTCCCTCAACAAACGAGTCCATACTTTTTCTCCAACTTCAAGCCTAATCTTTCGGTCCTCCAAAACTCCCTTCTCGTGACTCTCGGCCCTTAGAAAATCTAGGGAAACCCTAGTCCTCCGGCCCAAAAACAATTTAGCAGGTGTCACTCCCTCATTATTCCTAGAATTGAGGTAATACAACTGGGCCAAATACGCCCCATCCCCTTGATTGCCGGCTTTCCTTATCCAATTCTTAACAATTGCTACCATCCTCTCAGCTTGACCATTTGAGCTGGGATGATAGGGCGGGGTCAAAATGTGTCGAATCCTAGACTCTTTACAAAACTGCTTGAAATTTTTGCTAACAAAGGCAGGTTCTCCATCAGATACAATAGTATCCGGCAATCCGAACCTGGCCATTAATGCCCTCAATTTCCTTACAACAATTTTCGTGGTATATCCATGTACCTCCTCGTACTCTATCCATTTCGAATACGAATCTACTACTAAAAAATACGACCTTTTATCTAAATCGAAAAAATCAACATGTAAGCGTTCCCACGGTTTTCTCGACCTGGGCCATATCTGACCCACCTCCTTTCGGGGCATCGCCGCGCACGAATTACACGGCTCACATTTCCTTGTGATATTTTCAATATCTTTTCCCATACCTGGCCACCAAACATATTCACGGGCCCACGATTTCATCTTCCCTTGACCTTGATGTCCAGCATGTAACAAATTTAAAATTTTACCCCGTAATTTGAACGGAATTACGGCATGATTACCCCTCATTAAACAATCATCCACCACAGACAATTCCTCTTCCACCTTTTTAAAAATAATTTTACAATCCTCCTCCCAAGTCTTTTTTCCCATTACACATAACTTTATCCTAGTCATTTCTCTATCTCTCAATG